AAATATCAACACCCTCAGCCTCTTGGTTATTAAGAAGTTGTTAAAAGGTTTTAAACATGTTTGACCCCTTTGACTTACTACAACGGACGCCGTGCCATGACATAAGTTGGGGGATGGAAGTACATCTGTCGCCATGCCACGACATAAGTTGGGGGATGGACGTACAACTGATGCCATGTCATGACATAAGTTGGGGAATAGACGTACAATGGACGCCATGTCATGACATAAGTTGGGGGGTTGGGGGATGGATGTACAATGGACCCCATGTCATGACATAAGTTGGGGGATGGATGTACAATGGACGCCACGCCATGACATACGTTGGAGGATGGATACACAATGGATCCCATGTCATGACATAAGTTGGGGGATGGAGGTACAATGGAGGCCATGCCATGACACAAGTTGGGGGATGGATGTACAATGGACGCCACGCCATGACATACGTTGGAGGATGGATACACAATGGATGCCATCTCATGACATAAGTTGGGGGATGGATGCACAATGGACGCCATGTCATGACATAAGTTTGGGGATGGATGTACAATGGACGCCATGTCATGACATAAGTTGGGGAATAGAAGTACAATAGACGCCGTGTCACGACAGAAGTTGGGGGATGGATGTACAATGGAGGCCATGCCATGACATAATTTTGGGGATGGATGTACAATGGACGCCACGCCATGACATACGTTGGAGGATGGATACACAATGGACGACATGCCATGACATAAGATGGGGGATGGATGTACAATGGAGGCCAGGCCATGACATAAGTTGGGGGATGGATGCACAATGGAGGCCATGTCATGACATAAGTTGGCGGATGGATACACAATGGATGCCATGCCATGACATAAGTTGGGGGGTGGATGTACAATGGAGGCCATGCCATGACGTAAGTTGGGGGATGGATGTACAATGGACGCCACGCCATGACATACGTTGGAGGATGGATACACAATGGATGCCATCTCATGACATAAGTTGGGGGATGGCTGTACAATGGAGGCCATGACATGACATAAGTTGGGGGATGGACGTACAATGGACGCCATGTCATGACATAAGTTGGGGGATGGATGTACAATGGAGGCCATGTCATGACATAAGCTGGGGGATGGATACAAAATGGATGCCATGTCATGACATAAGTTGGGGGATGGATGTACAATGGACGCCATGCCATGACATAAGTTGGGGAATAGACGTACAATGGACGCCATGTCATGACATAAGTTGGGGGATGGATGTACAATGGACGCCATGTCATGACATAAGTTGGGGAATAGACGTACAATGGACGCCATGTCATGACATAAGTTGGGGGATGGATGTACAATGGACGCCATATCATGAATAAGTTGGGGGATGGATGTACAATGGACGCCATGTCATGACATAAGTTGGGGAATAGACGTACAATGGACGCCATGTCATGACATAAGTTGGGGGATGGATGTACAATGGACACCGTGTCATGACATAAGTTGGGGGATAGACGTACAATGGACGCCATGCCATGACGTAAGTTGGGGGATGGATGTACAATGGACGCCATGTCATGACATAAGTTGGGGGATGGATGTACAATGGACGCCATGTCATGACATAAGTTGGGGAATAGACGTACAATGGACGCCATGCCATGACATAAGTTGGAGGATGGATACACAATGGATGCCATGTCATGACATAAGTTGGGGGATGGATACACAATGGACGCCGTGCCATGACATAAGTTGGGGAATATACGTACAATGGACGCCATGTCATGACATAAGTTGGGGGATGGATGTACAATGGACACCGTGTCATGACATAAGTTGGGGAATAGACGTACAATGGACGCCATGTCATGACATAAGCTGGGGGATGGATACACAATGGATGCCATGTCATGACATAAGTTGGGGGATGGATACACAATGGACGCCGTGCCATGACATAAGTTGGGGAATAGACGTACAATGGACGCCATGCCATGACATAAGTTGGGGAATAGACGTACAATGGAAGCCATGTCATGACATAAGTTGGGGGATTGATGTACAATGGACGCCATGCCATGACATAAGTTGGGGAATAGACTTACAATGGAAGCCATGTCATGACATAAGTTGGGCGCCGTGTCATGACATAAGTTGGGGGATGGATACACAATGGATGCCATGTCATGACATAAGTTGGGGGATGGATGGACAATGGACGCCGTGCCATGACATAAGTTGGGGGATGGATACACAATGGATGCCATGTCATGATATAAGTTGGGGAATAGACGTACAATGGACGCCATGCCATGACATAAGTTGGGGGATGGACGTACAACGGATGCCGTGCCATGACATTAGCTCAACAGATAACAAGGTTACCGCGAGCGGTATATAATACGCCCGTCACACATTGAATGAGCAGTTGTTTGTATGATTGAAATATATGAAGTATTTGTGAGTAATTGATATTAAAAGAGAAATCATTCAACATAACTGGTAGATCAATGAGTGCAATACAACATCATGGAACGCATGCATCGCATTAATGAAACCAAGGGTAATAACTCCAGTAATTA